AACAGTAAAAAGGTTCCCTGTTTTCTAGTATTCACACCACTAAAACAAACAAAAGCATATCTAAACCTCAATAGTGTAGCATATGGTTGAAAAGCTTATAAAATGGCGCAGTTCCTAACATAATTTTCCACCTTCTTGTATACAGGGTGTAGACAAAATCAATAGACCAATGATTTTAAAATTTTTATCAAACGCCTTAATTTTTATCTTTGAATCTATTTACAATAGAGTGTTTACTACTGATCCTCAGTCATTTTCTATTATTCTTATTCATAATTTAATGTAGAACACGAAAATGACATTATCTAGTCAAATCCATTTACAGACAATTGAGCAATTGCTGTATTTAGTTTAAAACATGGATATTATTGAAAAACTAAAAATAGTTTTTGGGAGCTAATTTTTAGACTTGGAACCTCTTATATGCATCATCACACTATATTAACTTTGTACTTACACGAAATAATTTTTATCTCACTGAGTACCAATCACCCTGTATATGTGTGTGTCCGTTAAAACAAAAACTTGAGCAGAAATTATCCGATTTTCATGAAATTTGGTACAAACGTGTACAATTAATTTGAACGAGTTCACGAACCAGCATGATTGGACTATGGGAACGGGCGTTCCCATTATTGACCCCAAAAACTAACAAATTTTGTAATTTCTTTCTAAACCATTTTGTAGAGCTAAAAAAAATAATTTAGCATATTTTGAATACAACCAAAAAATTTGTGTATTGAAACGTTGTTATGCGCTTATGGCTACGGAGAAATAATAAAAGCTGAACATTTAAAACTCTTGTGTTATTCTTATGGATAATAATTAAACTGTTGTAATTTGCTTGTTTATGAACATATATTTATCAATATTGAAAAATTTTTTTATTTCACACTTAACTATTAACATTTCACACACACACAAAAACCACTTTTTACCCTCTCTGTTACAGTAAACCTAAGTACTCGTTAAACCAATGCTATTTAAGTAGGGGATAATGTGATATTTTTTAGGAGATATTTAAGAATAAATCCAATTAGGCAAATGGAAATTCTCCTAGTATGCAGGTTTGCTGCGGAGGGGTATTTTATTTATTATTTATTTGTTTTTTTTTGCTGTATACTGTTATTAGAGTAAAATGTCTATTGACGATTTTGCAAGATATATTATTTACCGAATTACTGCAATTTAGAAACTCTAGCTTATTTCCTTACCCTGCGAGTAGATCAAGATGCAAGACACATTCCACATCGTCATCCTAGAATGCTGCATATCTCATGCAAGGCCAGTATTTTGAAGCCTGTTATGAATACGAACACCTCATATACATATTCATGCAGTATACGTCTACATAAACATTGATTAACCTATTTCGGCAAGGCCTCGAAAGGATCTTGTATATAAATATCGGAAACCGTATCCCCTTAGAATTCTCAGCATGTGTGTAGAACTTAAATCATACAAAATAGTACACTACATTCAGAATGATTTTGCAAAAAACTAAAGTTGAAATGAGAACTGGAGCTTGTCCTTTTTCGCAGATAGTTACACATTCTAAGATACACATTAGATAAATATAATTTAGAGTTTGTTTCTACATATTATTTTTAATTTTGCTAGGTTGTTCACAACATTTTCGGTAATGTCAGTGACATTTTGGTAAAACTAAACACCTTTGCCACAGTAGACAACTAAACGGATTTCTAGCTACTTCATTAAGCGTTTAAACGAAATTCACACATAGAACTAGAACACATAGAACATCTACAAGCAGTATAAATGGTAGATGGTTAGCGAACCAGTTTAAATAAATTTTACTTTATAAGTCAGATTTAAATTCCATTAGGAATAAATGACAAGTACTATAACGAATGAAATCTGCTACTAAAAGACCTTATGATAAAAAAATACAATCCTTGGGGAAATATGATTCACCAGACCACTTAATAAATACTTCCGTGTAGAAATATTTGCTAACAACGGTAGCCTAGATAACTTTTAAAAGTAAGGACTTAAAAGCCTAAAAAAACTGCTGTGCTCTTGAAACTGGAAAATAATTATTATCATTTTTAAGTGTTAATTTCCTTGTTGATGTTTCACAGACTTTTGACCTTTACAAGAAAATAATTAGAAATAAATAAATAAAAAATAACTCTAGTCATGAACATGAACTTGAAGAAAACAAATTAATTAGTGAAAAACTCAAGAATAAATTCTCTCCCAGATAAAATTTCAAGTTAAAGAAAATATGAATTATAAATAAAACAATTGTAGACAAAAGGACTGCAGCCATTTCAGACATTTCATTACGATTATAATGGAAATTGCTTTTGTCAAACTGAACTAATTATCTCAATAGTTACAGCATTTTAAATTAAATTCTGTTAAAAGATCCTCACAATTAATATATAATCAGTAGTTAGTGTCTGGTCTCTATGTGAACAATAAAGTCAGTGTTTAAAATATGAAGTAAAAAATAAAAATAAATAAAAAAAAACAGCTGGTACCCGGTAAATTTACAGAGTGCTCTTTAGGTAAATATTTTCAAAAATACATATGGGTTTTTAGGTGTCTTTTAACGATGCTACGATAAGAATTAATATCAATTCACTTAGCCATTTTAAAATCAACAAAGGAAACGTTTAAAAACGTTAAATATTTAAAATACCTCCACCGTAGCGGACCTGCAAACTAAGCGAATTAATATTAACCTGGTCGGATTTTCACAAAATTATTCTCTTAAAATTGTCAGATTGTTTTAATATTTGAATATCATTCATTAGTTTTAATGAAATCTTAAATTTGCTTCTAAAAGGTTTTTTTTTTATTTAAATGTTTATAGCTTAGTTAGGAATTAATACATTTTTCAAATATTATCAAAATCTATTCCTAAACGTACTACAACAATTTATTGATTTTTTTTTTCATGAAAATAACACAGGAGTTTTAAATTTTGGGTATTTGGAATTTTCCCCGAAACCATTAGACACAACAATTAATTAAATCATTTGTTTTAAGTTAAAGTTCTTCATCGAAGAATAGAAAACATTGTACAACTGTATATTTTAGGGGTCAAAATGGAAAGCAATGTTATCCCGTAAAACACCATTTACATAGCCCTATCGTGCTGGATAGTGAACTCGTTAGAATATAAGTATGGAAACACTATTCATTCATGCTCTCACTGCACCGTCTACTTACGGGCCTTGCGACACAATATGCAATTACAGTTTTATAAAAGTTTACTGTATAATCGTACTGAATTTTCTGACAGTAAAAGCATGTTTATTTATTATTATTATAAATTATTATTATTATTATTATTATTATAAACTCACATAATATGGAATGGTGAATATGGGTGACTGCGGCATTGACGGTCCCGGGTTTTAACATGGAGCTACAAGCCCGGCCCATAAGTAACTATTTCCATGATACTCTTATGACACACACACAAATATAAATACATAATATCTCATAATCAAACATAATATAAAAAAAAATTAAAAAGAAATAAAAATGTTTTGTTCAAATTATAGTTGTTTATTATATATTATTTAATTTGAAAACAAATCAAATGTATTTAAACTATGTACCTGTAACAGATATTAATAAGGTAATGGATATGAGTTTTCCTCTCAAATAGCTTGCAGCTAGAGAGGTATAGTATACAAGGCGCTACAGTTTACAGTAAATTTTCGCATGCGAGATAATAATCAAATTGAACTTGATTGAAATTATTATTATTATTAACATCCTAGGACGCTATGTTCTAGCTTGGAACTGTTTAACACATTACTTCAGGCTAGTCCTAGTGGATTAAAATCCATTACTGATTGGTTGTATTTGAACCCGGGACTTCAGGCCCCTCTACCACTAGACCAGCTCGCTCCTCCTAGCATCATAGATGTATTAGTAGACCCTCCACTATACATTTTGCCACAATCAAAATCGGATTATTATACACCAAAATGATCCCTTAATATTTAAATTTAAAATACCAAATGAGTGAACGTGTCGGAACTTTGATCATGCTGTACAATAATACTTTTATTTAAAAAATATTACACAAAAAACAACCAAAACCGAAAATCTTTAAACAGCTAGGCTACAATGATAAGTAATAAAAACCATGATGATATTGAAACGCTTAAGCCTTTAATCTCAAAGTTTTGAGCTCTTTGTGGAGCTTAAAGTAAAAGATTAAAACTGCCAGAGGGGATTTTACATGTTAAAGGATTATCTAATGTCATATAATTTTTTTTGTTTTCCCCTACCGTAAGGGTAATGTATTTTAAATTTAGCAAATGGAATTCTGAATTCTAACGTAATTATGTTTAGTATTACCATTTGCACAATGGTATATTTCATTTATAAGGTTTAAGTGAATTTTTTGACACAAGCTCATGTGTAACGGTCGAGGCAAAGCCGAGGTATAGAAATGAACAAGAGCTGAACATAGACTTTTGGTCCATGTGATTAAATAAACTAGATTATTTATCGTCAAACTGCAATAAAAATTCTAGATTCTTCTAAATTATTTGAGCTCATTAAATATTAGCTTTTATTAGATAAAGAAAACGAATGTTTTTGGTCATAACAATATTTAGTTTGTACACATTTCTTACTGTATTTTGGCTGACCTATAATTATATTAATAAAATAAGTTCGATATATTACTCTAGATAAACAAGTATTTACCGGGAACCTACAAAACTCAGTAAAATAAACATTTGTTAAAATAATCAAGTTAAGTAATAGTGTTCAATATGTTCAGAATATTACTGAGAACTTTTTATGTTACTAATATTTCAGTATTGTTATATTCTATCCAAGAATATCTATTATTTCTATAATAAGATTGTGATAACACTCAATGGTTAGAAATGTGTAATGCGGTGATGATTTTTGTTACTGATATTAATCCTTTATATTGAATAAATTTTCATACTGAAGAAGATAGGTTAAAAGAAGAACAAAATTGATATTAAATTGTCAATAAATTTATTTAGGAAGACCACTTTCATACGACAATGTATTGTAAAAAACTTATCAAGCCATCCCGTTTCGAATGAAATACTCATAAATAGTTAGTACAATTAAATAATACTCTTTATGTTTTTACCGTGGGCAATAGGTAGGAGAGCATTTGAGTGAAAATTGACCTGATAAATAAGATACATTCCAACTACAATTAACTCATGAACTCAATAAACCATTCCACTGGACTAAAGCTTAAAAATTCCCACAAGGGTTGCTTACCAAGCTAAGGTTGACAAGAAACTACAATGTTGGCTAATAAAAATTCTAAAGATGTTTAACTATGTAAATTAATTGCTCATTATTTTTGTCTCATATAAAATATCAAAATCTTGGCTTAATCATCCAAGGAGCCAACCAATAAAAAATATAAATTCCCTCAACATTATTTCAAGGCTGTTGGATAGCCTGAAACTTTGTCACTTATCAACATCTAGTAAAATATATGTTATTTTGTCAATCAAATCCTGTAAAGGTTCAAATCTTTTTCTTTTGCTTTTGATAACTCAATTGCGCCATTTACGCTGTTTTTAATGTCTTCTTGCTCAGTTCGTTCATCGTTGAAGTAGAAGAACCATGTTAGAATGTATTTCCGATCGATTTATTTAAGTGCCAACATTCATAAACAGCTTACTGCCAAGTTATCGACAATTACATGTCTGGCATGTCTTTTAGCTTTGACAATTAATCACGATCAGCTGTTTTGTCCTGTCAGCTGACATTGCTCTCCAGCTGATTATCGTCTGATTGTTGCAACTGCGGAACCAAATTCAGCCAAAAGGAAAGACGATGAGCCCTGTAATGGTCTTTCATCTTTGATCTGGTGTCTGAAACAAAATTTAAACTTAAAGATAAACCATATCAATCTTTAAACACACACTCAACAAAGACAATATCACAAGGGTAACACACCCACTGCATTTTAAGTTGTAAGACTTATAAAACCTGAAACGCGACCTACTTCTTACAAATCTTGTTAAAAAATAATGATTTTCAATAATTATTTTAAAAACGTATTTATTGGCATACACGTTTTTCGTAAGGATGTGGTCCAACACTGGTCGTGTTACTAACTAACGTTGCTCTAAACAAATCCTTCTTTAAGTTCAAAGATGTAATAACTTTTTATTGTATTTGGGTTTATAGTATTTTTTTCATATATTGTCAACACTAACCTCTAGTTATTCTTTAACACAAATTCATACATTTGTAACGAACTAATGACATTAAATAGATACAAACATGATATGTGTCAACAAAACGAAAATTGTCTTTTTATTTCTCTAAAATATTTTGATAAAAATGTTTTTGAATATAAACGTACAATAAAATAAGTTTAGAAAAATTCAATGAAAATTGTGACATCGTGGCCATAATTGTTACCCATTTCAGAAAATACTTTTGCGTACAATTCATGTAAGGAATATTGTGTATAGTTGAATAAAATATTTAAAAATGTGTTAGATTAACACACTAATTCATTTAATAATTTATAAGAAGCATATTGTTCATTGTATCCCTTGAATACAATGTTTATAGAAATAATATACCTAAGCTTAAAAAGCTTTAGAATAATGCATGAAAGAAAATATGTGATTACGGTAAGAGACAAAAACGGCTATTATTCATTCACTTTGGTGAAAAGAGAGCAGGTTCTTTCTTTGTAAGTGTCTTTGTGTTATTCTATTCTTTCAGATTCTGTAGAAAGAGATTTTAAATAAATATTTAAACAAAATATTTTGAAAACCCATTAATATGTAGAAATGCTTGGATATAATTTTCTTCGCAAATATTATAGACCAAATCAATATTGTAATACTAATCAAATTTACTTTAATTCGTAACCTATCCACCCAATTTACCAAAGGAAAGGGATTTTAATGGCTTTCAATATGTTGAGATCCAACCCACATTTACTTAAAAAAAATTATTCAATAAATTCACAGTATTGAATTCCCTGATGTAACTTGACCCTTTTTTTCCTCTTACAAGTCATTTTTCTTTATAAATACTCACCTAACATCATGTACCTCTTGTGAAGCTTATCATACGGCAGCCAGGCCAATCTGTGAGATCTTTTGTGCTTCGAATGATTCTGATGATCTGCTTTGTTGGGGTCACTGCAACAAAGTGTTATAAAATAATTGGCTAAGAAATTTGGAAGAATAGTAAAATATAAGTACAGTACACTGAATGGAATTATGAGTTGTGGAAGTTATTAAATATTTAGTTCAAGTGCTACTACGAAATCTGACACTACCTTACTTCAAAACACCTAGAAAAAGGGATATATTTGCACATTTTAGTGAATTTTTCTAGAGGCGTTTTTTTTTACATAAATATTATTATCTTTAAATTTTAGAACTGATTTCAAATGAACTGAGTGTCTATTTTTAAGTAAAAGACACCTATTTCATCAATAATATTTAGTTGGTCCAATTTTAAATTTCAAAATGGCTGCTGTAAAAAATTGTAAATCTTAAATAAAAAATAAATGATAAATTTTATGAAAAAATATTAAGAACAGTTTTATTTAGCACTTTAAATTCCAAAACAACTTGGCACCATATTTTGTAAAAAGATCCAATAACAAAAATCTAAAATATCATGTTTTTATGTTGTAAAAAAAGGGAAAATGGTACCCAGTCCAGCTTAGCCTCATTGACTACATTTATTTAAAATATAACTAGGTTTTTTTATGTAAGAAGGTATACACTTTTAAAACAAATTATATAGTCACGGTATTTTGAAACACGCATACGCCGTAGTAGATTGGCTAGGAAATTTAACTTCCTTAGTCGAATTCAAAGAAAATAATGTTACCCCCCTAAGTAGTAAAAATAAAAACTTTGTTTCAAAAATAAATAACTATTTTACAAGGCAGATCTAAATAACCGCATTATTCTGTAAAGCGGCCTCTTTCCGTTGAGGAACACGGGCAGCAGCTAGTCATATATCTCAACAACTTAGCACATGTTAAGTTCACTTAATACACCGAAACTTACCCAGTCTTGACAAAGTTGGCCACATACGAGACGAAGGTCTGGGAAAGATGAAGTTCAGCCTTGGTTAGGTTGCGGCTGAGAAAGTCAGAGTTGGGGAACAAGTAGCAAAGCTCCTCCCCATGGATACTGCCTAACTGCTGCAAAATCGTACAATAAATTGGAAAATGAACAAGTTATTTAGTTTTCAGTAATAGATAGAACATATTTATCAATATGAAATAAATACATTTTTACATTTGTCGAATAATGGGAATTCTGATAGAGTAATTTCATAGATAATTGTTTACGTTTGTCTGCGTCGTTCAATGTAAGAGATAAGCTGTATAAGACATTTCAAAACATAACTATAGACCGTTTTGACCAAACGACTCTTTGTTCAACTTTGATAAAAGCCAGAAGCTTTTAGATGGTTCGAAACTGGACTCAGCTGACCCTGAGGGTTAGGCATTAAATAAATTATCTTGATTGATGAAACAGCTGAGTTTAGTAACTTACAAAGCTACACAGATAATGCCCATTCAACACTCATCCTTCACTCACATTTGGGTTAAAATACGCACATAGGTGACGTCCCCATATCAATTGATAATGAGAATGATAAACGAAAATCTAAAAATGAAATATAAGATGTATAAGATAAGATCATATGTAAAAACTTCATATCTTCGTTATATTTCTTCTAAATCAACATATTATGAGTTCTAAACGGAGCGAAAGTAGTAATTTTTAATATGTGGAAAATGTATAAAAGATTATATAATAGCAATTTATTTCAGCCCGTTATACCAGTACAATAGTACAGTAGTACAGTTCTCGCAGCTAGTCTGGGCGCGCGGACCCTTGTGTACTAACCGTCCCCCACGCCAAAGCCATGAAGACAGCAGTGAGGCGCTGAACAACCCCAGTGTGCCGTGTGAGCCGAATGTTTTTGGAAACGAGCAATAAACACTCCCCTCTACACCCCCTGCCCTAGCGCGGCCGCGCGCCCAGACTAGCTGCGAGAACTGTAATAGAGATCAATGGATATGGACTCCATTCCATTTCCACTCCATTTTGTTTTGTTTATAGAGCCGAAACCCCTCAATTGCTGACCCGGTACCTATAATTAAACATACCCGGGCCCCATGGTGTAGGCCGGAGCTTACGCACCAGCCTTTTTTACACCATGGGCGGATGACTTAAGGTCATCAGGCTCACCGGCTGCCGAAGCAACCCTTCGGAAAGAGGGTTGCCCCTCAATCGTAACCAGGGATACCGGCTACTTGTTTAAGCGTCACTCCACCTGGAACCAGTTGGTACAAAACCTGAAGGCCCATAATGAAATGCCCTGACGCATTTAGTGCAAGCAACACTCGGGATCTATCCAATCCCTGAAAGGCAGAGCCCGCCATCAAAGCCAGGAAGAAGGGGACCACCAGCAAGCTGATGGGGGAACCCCAACCACCTATTTCCACCACTAGATGAGGACCAATGACCAATGGATAAGGACTAGACTAACCTTGGGGTAGTCGCCGGCTCTCGTCTGGTGGGAGAAGAGGTACATGTAGCTACCACCAGAATGCGCCTCCGCCGCTCGCACCAGTGGCGCTGCCACACGGCCATCGCTCAAAGCTTCCTCTGTGTCTCGTAGTATGTTAGCGGGGTGTTGTACTGGACGTTCCCAACTGGTGTACTCATTGACTAGAGTAGCTAGTATCTCCGCTGTGTGATATCTGGAATAGGTTTATGGCAATATTTAAGGTGCACGTCTTTGTTCTTGGCCTAACATTAAAATATCACTAAGATTATGTAGCTGGGTATCTGAGTAGAAAGAGTGCTCTCATAGAAGTCAGAAGTTTCCTGCTTTGATAAAAAATCAAATCTTTTAAAAGTTCGAAACTGGACTCCACTGTCCATTATCAGTGGACAAAAATTGTCTTCACTAAAGAGGCGGCTGGTCATAGTCAGAACAAAGCTTTTATCTCATTAATACCTTACACTTGTTTTCTTTAAAATGCCCATCACGGTGTGTCAAATAAAAAAAATGTAATATATCTAATCTAATAATAAACGTACAAACTTTAAAGTTTGTAGATTACAAGTACACTTGTACAATGTTTAATACATCGCACATTGGGATAGACATGTACACATTAGAATCTATATTAATATCCGTTTCGTTAACCTCTGGGTAGGGCATTAGCATTGATAGAATAAATTGAATGGAATACAAATGTAATACTAGTTCCAAGTGCAGGAACTTCCTTGGGCAGTTTTCCCAACTTTCTGGCAGTGGTACCTAGCGTACGTAGCGACAGTGATTAGAAACTGCATAAATATGTTAGTCATCTCAATAGTATTGGCTTCTTCTGGGGAAGATATATGTCAGTGGGTAGTATCATTGACTATATACCAGTCAATGGTAGTATTTAACTCAACGAATAAAAAAAAAACGAAAATACAATTCAATAGGCATTGCCGATAAACGCCGCGTAGATGGTTTCTCTCGAAATGATCACGATAGCTACCAATTATGCGTTCTAAATGACCAAACCTGCCCGGGGGGTCACACCCTTCCACCCACGAGATACACATTGATGCGAGTCAAACAGGATACTTTCCATTTGCGAAATCTTCGAAGAATTGCCATCGGCATGAACTTTTTTAAGGCTTTTCCTCACCATTTTTATGTCCTGCCATAAAACTAAAAAATCATTTAAGTTTGTAAGGCTAATATACTAATTAAATTCACCTGTAAGTTTCATTGACAAAGGATTCAAGTAGATGGATCTTCTTATCATTTTCTATTCCAAAAAGTAGGTCATACTCTGAGAAATAGAATAACGCCTCTGCCCTGACAAGACCGAATAACATATCGTATTTTTTAGAGCCCCTGGACAAGTTTTCTGCTCTAGAAGACCTACGCAAATGGTGGTTCTTCATTCGGTGAGACTTTTCTGTAAAAAGTAAAACATAATTTAAAAAAATTTCCACTTAAATAACATAAACATAAGTTTTAAGCCTTTTTAGTGCATACAGACTGACGTACCATGAATAATCAGTTAATCAAAAATGTAATGTCTCTTTGGTAATAACATTGGCTAAGCTTCTACTTTATTATACATCTTAACTACCAGCCCCATTATAGAACTGTTCTAGAAATTAAATTTAGTTTGGTAAGAAGGTTTGTTATTGTCAACCATAAAACATCAAATTTTGTTGTTAAATCTAGTTTATTCAATGACCTATTTCATAATAATTTTCTTATATATCAAGGAGAACCCCATATTTAGTCAACTATACTAGAGTAAAACAATTTAACAAATTTTACTCAAAAGTATTTCAGTATTTTTCCAAAATTAAAACGTCCTCTTTGACACAAAAACCTGTTTTTAAATTGGTTTTGATAAAACCAAATCCTTGAGGCTATTGTCCAAATTAACAACGTTAGTTTACTACTAGTTAGCTTTTTCGTAAAAATAGTTTTACATCTCATTGTTAATAAATCACCAAAAATTACCTCGGAAATAGTTTTGGCTGCTGACCACTACCACCCCGTCCTCCACCGGACCGAAGGGTGTGGCAAACGTGGACACAGCCACAGGTACAGACAGCAGTGACTCTAGAGGAGTCTCCCGCAGACAGTGTGTCAGCCGATGGTCCAGAGGACAGTTGAGGTGACGGGCTGTGGTGAAGACGACCTCCTGGGGGTTTCTGACTGGAGGGTGGGCAGCCCCGGACATCATGATTACCCGGTGGAAGAGAGAACCTAAGAAAGACTGGAGTCATCAATGCTGTGTATGGCGAGTGAAACCTCCCGTACACGTGGCCAGGGTGATGTCACGGACTTTTTAACACGATTTTGAATTTCATCACCAATATTGAATTTCAAGTCATATTCAAATTAAATAAGTAGTTATACCAAACGTCTTACCACACGAAATATCCCATTTGTTTTATGTGTTACAACCCATTCTACGTATGTTTTCTATTTTATTTTTAACATTTTGCTGATGTGTTTTCCCCAACAGCATTTTTATATGTTTGTATTGGATCAGTATAAAACCCTGGGTTTTTACCTTCAATCATCAATTTTTTGTGAGGTAGCATCATTAACTGATAGCCCTTTGACAAATGACATCTGGGTCCAGGGTCCAGTATCGACCCTACTTTGGATAGGACTAGTTGCCCTCAGGTGAGCATTACCACACAACCACCAAGACAATCCTTGAAGACAAGATATTACCATACTGAACGGACGGTGACATCATCAGCCAGTGGACGCACTCTGCCCCACTCCCATGGCCTGCTAGGGTAACTGCCTCTGGGTCACCTCCAAACCCAACGATGTTCTCTTTCACCCAGCGAAGGGCTGCCACCAAGTCCTGCAGTCCAAGGTTGCTATGTCTCCCGATGGGTAGAAAACCTAGAAATAAGTGTGGAGTATTAGTTCTTCGCGACTACTGTTATTTGTGTAAATGGAAGATTTCAAAATCCAAACAATTGTCCTAATGTATGTACATTAGTAATTCAAACTACTTAGTTTGCTCTGAGGTGCGTAAACCACACTAGGAGAATTGATGATTAGTGCTGCGATCTCCTCAGACGAGACGATAACTACGTGGTCCTCATCGCCGCGCAGTACATAGTTTTGGTCACTTATTGTCTCATAGAGCGAACTGTCTAGTAAGCGAACAGCCAAAGTCACTAATGCAGCTTAACTAGTACTCCCAATCTGTAGTTGACTGTCACCACGACTATTCTCCCATCATACAAGTGTCCTCCTCCCCATTGAAATGTCACTAATGCAACTTACCTAGTACTCCCAATCTGTAGTTGACTGTCACCACGACTATTCTCCCTCTACTAGCGAGCATCGTACCGTCGTACAAGTGTCCTCCCCATTGAAATGTCACTAATGCAACTTACCTAGTACTCCCAATCTGTAGTTGACTGTCACCACGACTATTCTCCCTCTACTAGCGAGCATCGTACCGTCGTACAAGTGTCCTCCTCCCCATTGAAATCCTGCACCGTCCACAAACACCATCACAGGGTGTCTGGATTTTGTTGAAGCTGTGAAAAGCCAGTTTTAAATTGAAGGGATTCACTTTAATAAATGAAATTCGTATAAATACATACGAAGAGAGAAATATAGATATTTTCACCGCCCTTACTACATATTCCCTAGAAGGAAATGTTTAGTGGTTATTAATGTTCTGATCATTAACTTATATTTTGTAATGTATTGCAATAATCACTAAACAAGTAACAGTACTTTAAAATTGTCAAATCAAATGAATAATAAACTATGCGTATCTTAATTAATACTTGAATGGCATAGACATTTATGAAGTTGTAGTTTATATAGGCATATTCTTTGTTTACCTCCGAGGGGAATTACCTCCGTGCTAGTTGTCAGGAGCATAAGTATAATTAAAATTGCTTCCAATTGAAAATTATTAGAATGCCACTCGACTTTTCTCATCATTGTGAAATTGGCATTCTGATTTTTACACGATAAATTTAATCACTAAATGTTCGTGACTAGAATAACAGATTTTACAAGTCACACTTGTACTAAAGTGGTCAACGAATGACTCCTTTTGAACACTGGAACACTAGACACGAGATCTCCTAGCTACGATGACACAATTTAAACCAAAACCAGTGATTAATGTAAATTAAATAGATGTAAATATCTACATGAAGTAATCATGGTTTTAGTGGAAACTAGTTTCAGGTTAAATCATCAACAGGCCTACAAAGAGTAAAAACTATTACTATATTTGTAGGTCAACCGTTCCCCTGTTATGAAACAGCGAGAAGAGACCAAGACTACCTTGGCCACCAGTAAAGACTTTCACTTTGATCGTGTCGATTTTTAAATTCTTGTCTACTTTTTTATTGAACTTTGCTGACGACCTTAAAACGAAGTGTGGCAACTTTAAATTAAGTGGTTATGTTTTACTCTTTGTATACCTGAAGAGTTTACCCTAAACCAATTATTTGTCACTATAGCAACCTAGGACTTTATGTAGGTAAACCATTACCTAGACAACTTTAACCCAGACCCTAGACAACAATTGAATATAAACACTTCCCATGTAGAAGTGATCACAATCACCACCCATCCCACCTTGCAATGGTGCGTAGATGTTGAGAGTCAGGCAGTCTTCGCTCTGAGCTCGCAATGAGGCTGAAGCTGCCTGTAGATGCTGCATACCTCTGTTGGTCACCGAGGCCAACGTCTGAGGACACGCTGGACTGAAGGCAGTCGCCGGCCTCACTCGCGACCTCGGAGGGAGAGCTTCTGGAGGGGAGAACCTCACGACCTTGGCGTACGGCAACCCTCGAAACATCTAAGATACATTTCACAATTTAAAATACTTCAGTTGTTTTATGATTGAACGATAAGCTTTATAAGAACTAAAATGAGATTCCAAATTATGTTTCATGGTAGGTTTGATACTAGGTATGTAAACAGAGTCGGTTTCATCTGCGAAATATCGTCTGCTAAGTAGTACAAAGAAAAACTTGTTATCTTATATTCTAAGGTGATAGTAGAAACCTATGATAACCGTAAAATAAATCCAATATTCTCTTATTCTTAGCTCTGGTATAATTTATTCCAATAAATATATATTATTCCAGCTGCCCATACCTCGACGTCTGCTCCAGTGACAACAAGTCCGGACACTGGACCTTGTGACGTCATCACGACCCTCCCTAGTCCCCTGGGCATCAGCCCCAACAGAGTATAGAAGACGAGGGTCCAATAGCCTTGTGCCGTACTAGTCATCGTGAGTCACATGTTTCTGTGGTCAATTCTTACGGTACAAAGCTGACGTATTTAAATGGCAAAGATTTTTCAGGCTGGACCACCTTGAGTATTTTTCTGTAACAAAACATTACGTTATTGAATGCTGTGAGATCGAAAGAGGTGTAATACATGTTTTCTGTTTCCTCCTGAATAAACATGTTGCTAAGGACTGTATCCACTCAGCTACTTAGTTATGAAGTAGCTATGTGTTAGGCCTATGTGTTGGTCATAGCTTGGGCTAAGGGCTAAGAGTAAGGTATGATGGCTATGAATATAAACTTTATGTGGTGTGCAATTGATATCTTTGTAGCTATAATATATTTGTCGTGAAATAAACTTTATGTTGACGTCTTTTAGTAAACCTGTAGTAAATCTTTTTAGTAACTTAACACTAATACCGAAACCCCGGTCTGACAGGCCCACGTGAATTTTCAAAAACGCATGTTGGCAACACTGTTTACTTGGTAGATTCCATTCCCCCAATACCTTCCCCCCTTTTCCTCCCCTACCTATTGATATATCATTTGTTCATTTTGCATGGGTGCCGTGGCCTTGACAGGTCGTCTGTTCATAACATGTCCGTCTCAGAAGCCCAGCGTTAGTGTATTTTAAAGCGGGGTCTCACAGACCGAGGGTTTCGGTTTGTGTGTTTCTAAGCGGGGTCCATTATTTTTCAAATGGGGTCTCACAGACCGGAGGGTTTCGGTTAACGTCAGCCTAGGTGGGGTTTCGGTATTAGTGCTAAACTTGTACAATTAAAAGTAAAAATGAAAATGAGCAAGTATACTTTTGTTTTTGGAAACTGAAAAGCATCTAATGCTCTGTCTATTGTAATGATAGAATGGAGTAAGGTTAAGCATTTTTACTAGATAGGTACACACAGTTGTATCTTTGGTCAAGTTGATTTATAAGTCCAATTATCAAACATAGCTGGGTCCAGTTTTGAACCATAACAAATCTACTAAATTTTCTCATGGTCCAACTTGTAACCCTAAAATATTAAGCGTCAATATTTTTAGAGTTTGAAACTACTTAGGCTACGTTACTTTGTTCTAAGTCTCAGCATTCAGCAAACATTTAAAATTATGTTGTTAACTTCTTTTTTTCAACTAATTCCTTTTACATTTCTCATTTACTGTTTCGTAACATCGGCTCTTATTTTAATGACTTAGGCATCTTTGATTCACCTTCTCTCAACTTATTTAAAATCACGGTTAAAGAATTCCTACTAAATCTAGGAACGGGCGAGGCCGAAGTTATCATCTCAGCTGATTACCGGCGTGTTTGACCTGACCCTTGTACTGTGCTGTCCCTCCCCCACCAGCCCCCCAGCCTTGTACACAACTCCTGGCCGACACAACTGTATGGACACAACAGAACTGTAATTTGCTCCCACAGAAATTATCTATCACTCATTTCGTGTCAATTTCATATCATTCATCCCCAAGAAAAATTCCAAAAAATCTTTTCCGTTTTTTATTCAATCTCCGTTTGGATTCCCAATCAACAAATTTAGGTAATTAAACTCTATATGCAACCCAGCAGACGCACAGGCAGAGTTGGTCTATGCCTGCTGATTCCAAAAGACTAATTAATTATAACTAGCTATAAAATTATAAGTTATTACGTTCGTAAGCTAGTTTTGTATAATTAAACATTAAGTTCACAACTTTGTAAATTTTTCGGTTCTTGATTTGTTGTTGTTGTAAACTTAAGTACCTGGGGACCGAGCTTTGCTCGGAGAAAATCATTAGTTCACACTGAAAGCAGTCTTAGTATCGGAGATACATAAATCTGTTCCCAAACTCCACACGGCTCGCCTTTACAACGTCCAACACCATTTCCTACGTCATGGACCTGTTTCCCTCCATTCCCATAGCACTTTAGGATTGTAGATACCTTAATCTAATCGTTATTAACAGTTCCCACACTCCGGACAGCTCGCCTTGACTACTTCCTTCACTACTTCCAACGTAGCAGACCTGTTTTTCTCCCTTCCCATAGCATTTCAGAATTGCAGATACGTTAATCTAATCGTCATAAACAGTTCCCACGCTCCATACTAATCGCCTTCACTACTTCCTTCACCACTTCCTACGTCGCAAACATGTATCCCTCCCTTCCCATTGCATTTAAAAATTGCAGATACATTAATCTAATCGTCATAAACAGTTCCCACACTCCGGACAGCTCGCCTTGACTACTTCCTTCACCACTTCCTACGTCGCGGACCTGTTTCTCTCCCTTCCCATTGCATTTAAGAATTGCAGATACGTTAATCTAATCGTCATAAACAGTTCCCACGCTCCATACTAATCGCCTTTACTACTTCCTTCACCACTTCCTACGTCGCAAACATGTTTCCCTCCCTTCCCATTGCATTTAAAGATTGCAGATACATTAATCTAATCGTCATAAACAGTTCCCACACTCCGGACAGCTCGCCTTGACTACTTCCTTCACCACTTCCTACGTCGCGGACCTGTTTCCCTCCCTTCCCATAGCATTTTAGGATAGCCTATACCCTTATCTAATCGTCATAAACAGTTCCCACACTCCGGACAGCTCGCCTTGACTACTTCCTTCGCCACTTCCTACGTCACGGACCTGTTTCCCTCCCTTCCCATAGCATTTTAGGATTGCCCATACCCTTATCTTATCGTCATAAACAGTTCCCACACTCCGGACAGCTCGCTTTGACTACGGTACTTCCTTCACCCCTTCCTAAGTCACGGGCCTGTTTCCCTCCCTTTCCTATAGCATTTTATGATTGCCTTTACTACTTCCTTCAATACTTCCTACGTCACGGACCTGTTTCCTTCCCTTCCCATAGCATTTTAGGATTGCCCATACCCTTATCTAATCGTCATAATAGTTCCAACACTCCGGACAGCTCGCCTTGGCTACTTCCTTTACCACTTCCTACGTCGCGGACCTGTTTCCCTTCCCTCCCTTCCCATTGCATTTAAAGATTGTAGATACCGTAATCTAATCGTCATAAACAGTTCCCACACTCCGGACTACTCGCCTTGACTACTTCCTTCACCACTTCCTACGTCGCGGACCTGTTTC